AACTGTTTAGGAACTTTCATTTGGAACAGAAGTGCCCAAGCTGTCTCAAGTAGATGCCTATTCTTCCTTTCAGCAACTCCGTTTTGAGAGGGTGTATCAACACATGAAGACTGATGTAGTACACCATGTTGTCTCATGTAGGACTGAAATAACTCTGACATGTATTCTTTAGCATTATCACTCCTTAGAATACGCACCGAAGCATTGAATTGAGTTTTGACTTCAGCACAAAAGGCAGAAAAGTGAGTAAACACTTCAGAGCGACTCTTCATAAAGTAAATCCAAGTCATTCGGGAAAGTTCATCTACAAAAGTAACAAAATACTTATGTTCCAGTTTTAGAAACAACAGGACATGGTCCCCAAACATCAGAATGAACTAACTCAAAAGATGACTCAGCTCGCTTGTTAACCCTTGGACCTAACGAGATGTGATGATGTTTTGCAAATCGACATGACTCACAATCCAATGAAGAAATATTCTTAAACTGAGGACAGAGCTTCTTCAACAAAGGCAAAGAGGGATTGCCCAATCAAAATGTGCTTCAAAAGGAGACACGATACTAGAGCATGCAATAGACTGTGACTCCCATTCATCAAGGATATAGAGATCACCACATAAATACCCTTTACCAATAATTTGCTTTGTCGTAAGATCAAGAAACAAACAATGATTGGGAAAGAACGCTACACAACAATTAAAGTCTCTGGTGATTTTACTAACAGAAATCAAATTAAAGGCCAAGTTTGGTAGACTTAATACAGATGACAGGGTAATAGAGGAAGTCGGTTTAACAGTTCCAGATCCAACACTGCTACATGTTGTTCCATCAGCTACAGTAACTGAAGAGGGTGCTTTGTGTGATCGAAAGCTAGAAAAAATATTTGGATTACATGTCATGTGATTTGTGGCACCTGAGTCAATCACCCATTTATTTGAAGAGGTGATAAGACATGTCTTATCTGGCCCGGCAAAAGCAGTAACTGAAGAAGATTCCTTAATTGATTTATGATATTGAAGGAACTCAAGAAACTCATCCGAAACTAGGATTGTTGGACTAGAAGTTGTAATACTATTTCCTCCTTGCTTACTATTTATGGTCATCTTTCCAAAAATACCCAAAGTATCAATATAAATGTCAGAAAAGCCAATAAAGCTCAAAAGTTCTCTACCAGAATAACACTATCCAACGAAACAACGAAGGAAAGACACCCAATGAAACAAAGAAACAGAACTCCAATAGAGCCAATCTAATGGGCAATAACCAATCAAAAGTCCGGCCAATAGTGCAAGAATCAGTAACCAAGAATCACTAACCAACAGATTACTCTCAAAGCTATAAAGAAAAAAGGGCTAAAGTTCTGCACATAAAGTTGGTTCACTACTAAGGATCATGCAATCACAGAAGGAAACAAAATTTGAACACAACAAAGAAAAGGTGACAAAACCTTGACATTATGAACCGAACCTGGGACGGTCAGAGATTTTCCCAGCCGAGGTTTCCTGAACAAACAAACACCATAAGCTGGATGAAAATGTAAAGTCGATGTCGGAGAGATGGTTAAATTTCAAATTCCAAACTCTTCAAAAGTATTCTGACCCTAACTGACAGTTTCGGTAAGTTCTCTATCTAACTCCGGTAAAGCCGGAGAACCCGCTCTGATACCATGTGAACAAAACTTGTGTTATCATTCCAAGAGGTGAGCAATATAAATACATGTACATCAGATGCTAACTAAGGAAAGAAATAAAAGAGATTCCTGCAAATATGCTATTTATGTACAAGAAAGAGTCTACATTCATTCTATAATAAGTGTCTAGATTCATCCTATAATAAGTGTCTAGATTCATTCTATAACAAGTGATCTTTCGCAGCTCCCTTTATTTATTTTCTTCTGGGATACGGAAGTGTTTGATCTGGCAGGAAATGCTTTTTACAAGAAAAACTGGAAAAACCGATAGATGCTGTACCTACAAGTTACCATGAACCTAATATTTTTATCTGTACTACATAGAGTTTGATAGTCCTGGAGTATAAAGAGGATGACATTCATTTAACTCCTTAAAGAACACACCATACTCACATACCAATGATTGTAAATCTGTTTTGATGTGCTTCCTCTACACTTTACCAATTGAATACATCTCTCTAGACATTAATACCTCCCTCACAAGTTAGATAAAATGTTTATACTTCGGTTGAACACAAATTAGATAAATCCTTTTGACTAGCATGAAGATTTTACAGACTAGCAATGAAACAGAGGTGCTTTATATGAATGTCCTTGCATTGCCCTCCCCCNTAGAGAAGCTGATATCGATCAAGCCAAAGAGGACGAGAATGAATCAAAGCTCACACAGAGAACAACTTCCCCAAAATTGCCAGCTTCTGTAGCAAAGCCTCAGCTCTGGGCTATATTGGATGGGTTAAAGCTAATTCTATCTTCGGCGTACTTGTTGCACGTATCATTGTTCCTTTGGCTGAGTGCGGTTGTTTCCTCGTTTTTTTACTTTCAGGTACAATAAGAATTTCCTTTGATTTAAGTGACAGAATGGATAAGCATGTGTAATGTGGTGCCTTTATGTGATTTACTGATCTCACATAGATGACCACCTTTTTGAAAGACCAGCTTACGGTTACTGCAGCCTCACCCCCCATATTTTCATTCTTTTGCAGAAAGTAACTGTTATTGCTGCTGCAGTAACAGATCCCACTGGTAGAAGGAGATTATTTGCACAGATCAATAGCTTTATTGCTATTTTTATCCTTGCTGGACAACTTACTTTGACGGTATGGCGTAGATGTATAACATGCAAAAGTTTAATTGCTAAGCTAATCCTTTTTTCCCCCTTGTGCATGTGTCTGTGTTACCCGGGGAAGAGGGGAAGGGGGTATTGAGGGCATATTCTTTAAAAGTGTGTTCAATCTCTCTATGCTACTTGAACAACTCTAATTCAAAATTTCTCTCCTCTGCTCTCAAATTTGATGGAGGGATTGAATGGAGCCTGTGGCGAAGGCTTCTTCTTCTCCAGATGTTCTTGTCATATTGCACCACTTTCCTCATCTGAGTTCCACCGTAGAATATAAACATCTGTCACTTGGGTGTGTGTAAGAGTGTTTAATATCACGTGGGTAATATCAGTTCCAGGCGAATCAGTGGTGCATTTTGAAGGATCCCAAAGAGTTCCCATGCATGCAAAGTCAGATTAAGTAGAACTTTAAAGTGATAACATATGGACAGTCTTATAAGTTGATCAGTTTCCTAATGTCTTGAATTGCAGTTCCCTTCTTTTGTTTTTCTCTATGTTCACAACATGTTACATGATTCATTTAATCGTATCTCCAGTGCCACAAGTTTTAAAAGTCTTTATTCACTGGGTGGTTGCAGGGGCGCATCCTTACTTTTGCTGGTGTCACTCTAGCCATTTGCTCCACACCTTTTGTTGCATTCACAAATTTAATTGCTTTAGCAGTATGGCCTACATGGATTACAGTGGCTGTCTCAGAAACCCTGAGGAAGGTATTTTTTCTTCACACCTTTTTCCGAACCTCTAAAGAGAAGTAATAAAAAAATGATGACAAGAGAAGTTGTAAAGGAGGAAGTGCTCCTTCAGGGGTTTGTACCATTTTTAGTTGGAATACGTCAATAGCCCCTAAACTTGGCACAGCTCATTCAACGTACATCTAAGCTTTTCGTAGTCCTTATTACCCCATATATTTGGCTAGTTGATAGCCTCGACCTCCCTGAATCTGATGGAGGTAAGAGCCACCGCAGCCATGCGGATTTTTGTCTATGTTGTATTTTTTATAAAAAAAAAAATATTTTTACCTTTTAAAATTCATTAATTTTTTGATCATTTTTTTCAGGCGAAATTTGTAAAGAACTTGGCTAGACCTCCATTATGTTGGCTAAAACTTCTTTATTTGACTGCAAATAATGGAGTTTCAGCCAAAACTTTTTACTGATTTGGTCCGGAAAATAAGATATACACAGTTGAAACAAAAATTCATTGCATCCAAAGAAGAAATAAAAAGAAATACACAATTGCAACTCTATTATTTTGGTTATTATTTGGCAATAACTAATGAATTTCTGCCAAATTTTTTATGGATTTGGCCCGAGAAAAAGAAATACACAGTTTGAAAAAAATAGTCATTGCATCTAAAGAAGAAATAAAAAGGAATGAACAGATGGAATTTATTTTGGCTAAAACCTTTTCTATTCGGTTAAAATTAATAGAGTTTCAGCCATGGTTTTTACATATTTGGTCCAAAAAAGAAGTACATAGTTGGAACAAATAACCTTCTTCCAAAGAAGAAATAAAAAGAAATACAAAATTAGTGTAAAAATATGCATTGTATATAAAGAAGTAAAGAAGAAAGGAGAAATACACAATTGGAACAAACAGACCATTGTATGTGAAAACTAATGGTTGGAAAATACTCCACCTGGAAGCTGACTTTCCGATTTTAGTGTATCCACACTTCTTGCAACATCAGCATCAAGGAGGGCCGAGACTATCAGATAGCCAAGTATGGGGGGTAGCTAGAAATATGTGAAGTTTAGGTGTGCCGTGTGCGCTAAATAAACCGTGCCAAGTACAGGGAGGTAATGAGGTATTCTGCCTTTTTAGTTTAACAGGGAACTAACAGGTTTTGCAATGAAAAAAAGATAACTAGGGATACACTTATGCAGTTGAGCCCTATATGTTATTGTCTTTTATGGTTAGGTGGTCACGTATGTTGTTACCAGGCCTGGAAGGGAACTTCTTTTTACTGTTGTCTCACAGGATGAGAAGTATAAAGCAAAGGTATGTCACAAAATAGTGACCTGAAAGATTATCATAATTCCATATTATATATTAGCAGCGGCCTGTATTATGAATATCCGGTCTGTAGGATTTCTTGATCTTCATTTCTTAGATCTTTTCGAGAAGATATGGCAAAGCTGGTAGGTTAACATCCTTTTTATTAGGTCAGCATAAGTGTTTCACGACACCTCAAAAGGATTTTCGTGGCTGCAATAGTTGGCAGTGAGTGTTCTCTTGAATATCCCTAGCAGTAGAATGATTCTGTTTTTTTTTTTTTTTTTTTTTNGGGAAAAACTTCTCCCGGGAGATGTCCTTCAACAAAGAAATAGAAAATTTAGCTAAACTATGCGCTACTTTGTTTAACTTCCTTGGAATATAAAGAAACTCGACGTGATCTAACATGCTTGATAGCTTCCATTCTTCACACAACACTTCTATCTCCCATGAAGTAGCCACCTGTTTTTGGATCATATCAACAACATTCTTAGCATTAGATAAAATCTTCACACTTTTCCATCCAAGAGTAATAGCACATTCAAGTGCCTTTCTTATGGCAATCGCTTCAGCAGTCATGGGTTTCCCAACATATTGAATTGAGGATCCATGGGCATGAAGTAGTTTTCCAAGGCTATTCAAAGTCGCAACACCAATATTCGCATGTCGATCATCACACCGTAATCCTGCGTCTGTAAATAATAAAACATCATCATGAAAATTTGTTAGTTTAGGCAGAAAGTCATTTCCAGTTGAATGTCGTGCAGCGAGGCAACTAGTCAATAGATCTTTATATTTTCCATACTCAAAAAGAGCTTTAGAAACAATCTCAGTTGGCTCTAACATTTCTTGATTAAAGCACCAAGCATTCCTACCTTTCCATATTTTCCACATAAGATTAACACTCAAATCTAATAATTCAGTAGATTCAGGAAAGTGCTTAGCATTTAAGAACAAATTGTACCACCACATAGAAAAGTCAGTTATGTTGTCAATATCAGGCCAATTAATAGGACTTTGTTTCCATACAAGCTGAGATTGGGGACATCTAAATAGCATATGTTCTATATCTTCACTTTCAAGACCACAAATCTTACACGTTTTATCCAGGTTCTGTAATCTTTTAGCTAAGGTATAATTAACGGGCAAAGAGTTAATCACACACTTCCTTAGAAAATGTTTAAGTTTATTTTTAATTTCTAAGTTCCTCAAAGAATCCCAGAAGCTTTTAGGAAAAGAATGACAACTCCTCGCTTGGGCTTCCGAGTTCCTAATAGTCTTACCGGCCAAACCTTTTGCTAAATAGTAACCTGACTTAACTTCATAGTTTCCAGATTTTGAGTGATGCCACAACAATCTATCATTAAGACCTATGATGGATATTGGTATAGACAAAATTGCATCTATATCTTCAGGTTCAAATGTCGTACTTATCTTATGAAGTTTCCAGGTATGCGTATCTTCGTCAATTAAGTCGGCAACCTTAAGATCTAAATTGTTTTGCATTTGAATACTTTTTGGAGTAAAACCATTCTTTCTTGGAATCCAAGGATCAGTCCAAACATTTATATTTTTCCCATTAGAGATTCTCCACCTTAGTCCAGTAACTAATAGATCTCTTCCCCACAAAATACTTCTCCAGATCCATGATCCTGTAGATGATGTAGAAGCGTCAAGGAAAGTTGAGTGTGAAAAGTATTTACTTTTAAGAACTCTTGTTAACAACGAATCCGGGTACGACAATATACGCCAAGCTTGTTTAGCTAACAAAGCCATATTGAAAGCCTTTAAATCCCTAAATCCTAAGTCCCCTCTTGATTTAGAATCACATAATCTTTCCCATTTCTCAATATGCATCTTCCTTTTAAAGTTTGTCCCCACCAAAAGTTAGAAAAAAGAGATGTAATCTCCTTGCACATACCATCAGGGAGTTGGAAGCAAGACAAGGCATACGTAGGGATTGCTGCAAGTACAGATTTAAGCATTACTTCTTTCCCTGTTGTACTTAAAAAATTACCCTTCCATCCTTTTATTTTTGTCTTGACTTTATCCTTAATAAACTCTAACATCTTTTTCTTTGAGCGTCCCACGATAGCTGGTAATCGTAAATACATACCCATCTCATTTCTTTGTTGTTGTCCACGTAAGGAAATATCTCGACTTTCTCCTCCTCCGTTACATTTCTACTAAAACAAATAGCTGATTTATCTAAATTAATCACTTGACCAGAACTTTGCTCATACTTTCTTAGAATCTCAGCTACATGAACTGCATTGTGAGCGTTAGCTAAACAGAATATAAAAGAGTCATCTGCGAAAAATAAGTGAGTTAAGCTCGGCCCATGTCTATTTAACTTTAAACCTTAAATTTCATTTTGAGTTTCAGAAATCTTCAACAAAGTAGATAAACTTTCTGCACATATTAAAAATAGATAAGGTGATAGCGGATCTCCTTGTCGTATTCCTCTAGTCGGCCTAACTGATCCAACTACCTCCCCATTTATATTAAAACTATAGGTAGGGGTAGAAATACATTGCATAATCCATTCTACAAATCTGGCATGAAAACCCATTTGCAAAAGCATTTCTGGATATATATCCATTCAACTCTGTCATATGCTTTTGACATATCCAATTTCATCGCCATAAATTTCTCTTTACCTCTGCGTTAATTTTTTAGAAGATGCATAAATTCATGTGCTAAGATAACATTATCAGTGATTTGTCTATGTCCAACGAAAGCTGCTTGAGTCGGAGATATAACCTTAGTTAAAAGAGTTTTCATTCTCGTAGCAAGAATTTTTGCAATAATTTTATAAAGAGTAGAACATAAACTTATGGGTTTAAATTGCGAGACCAAAGTAGGGCTTTTAACTTTAGGTACTAGAGTGATTAAAGTATGGTTCCACGAAGGAATTAGGTAACCTGTAGTGAAGAAGCTATCAATAGCTTCATAAATCTCTTTTGATATAATATTCCAATACCGTTGAAAAAATAAAGGAGTCATTCCATCCACACCTGGCGCTTTAAGAGGATGCATAGCGAACACCGCATTCTTTACTTCCTCTTCACTAACATCTTTTATGAGTTCTCGATTTATAGAGTCACTAGTCGTTACATTGACATGATTTAGAATACATTCAAAATTTGTCGGGTTAGATGTAGAGAATAGTGTATCATAATAGCCTCAACTTCTTGAACTATTTCAGTTTGGTCACTCACCCACCTCCCTTCAGTTGTTTGAAGACCCCTAATTATATTTCTTCTTCTTCTTTGTAAGGTTGCCATGTGAAAATAGGACGTATTCTTATCTCCATCCAGCAACCATAAGGCTCTAGAACTTTGTTTCCAGAAAATCTCTTCTTCTTTATAAGCTTGGCTTAATTCCCTTTTTAACAACCTAAGTTTATTCCAATAAAAATTATTAGCATCACTTCTATGGTCTGTAATCTGTTTCTTAATACGAATAATTTTCTTTCTAGCATTACCATTTCTTCCCCTTACCCAAGCCACTAAGGATCTACGGGACTTCTTTATTTTAAAGTGAACTCGAGATTGCTCGAACCCAATATAGTCATTGGACCAAGCTTCAGATACAATATTCTGAACCTCTTCCCGATCAACCCACCTTTTATCAAAGTAAAAACATCTTTTCTTCTTAATTTGTTCAGAATGTGAAGACAAAATTAACAAGGAATGATCAGAAGTCCCAGTATCAAGATGAGTCAAATTAGCTTCTTCAAACTTTATTTTCCAATTAGGGGAGACTAAGACCCTATCTAACCTTTCCTGAATAATACCCTCATTTTTCCTATAGCACCACCAGGTCCAAGATTTTCCTATGTAACCCAAATCAATTGCACCTAAGTTTCAAATAAAATCCTTAAAGTCTCTAAAGGTCCAAGGATCTCTAGTTCTTCCTCCTTGTTTTTCTGAATCATCAAGAGTATCATTAAAATCTCCAGTTAAAACCCAGAAGGTACCCCAATATGAAGATTTTTTAATTAATTCTTGCATTTGAGATCGACGATTAATTCTATTCGTACTTAGATACACAAAGATACACCAATATTGGCAATCAGATAAAACATCATGTATCAAAGTTTCAACACAAAAAGAAGAAGTGTGATATTGACATACCTGGATGTTGTCATTCCAGAATAAGGCTAGTCCACCTGATAAACCCATTGGTTCCACAGTAATAACATGTGCCATATCCAGTTCTCTCAGAACTCTCTGCACTATTCTATCTCTATTTTTTGTTTCACTTAAGAAAATCATATTTGGGGAGTGGAGACGCGTTGTCTCCTTCAAAAAGGGAACTGCTAAGGACCCCCCCAGGCCTCTACAATTCCACACTAAAGCTTTCATTGCATGGAGGGAAGCCATTTAGGGCTGGCCTCCCGCTCCACCACTGTTTTCTGTTTTTTAACTTCCGTTCCAGTATCAAAATTAGTTTGTTCTTTTCTTTTATCCCCCGTCGTATGTATATTTTTCTCTATCACATCAACCTCAATAAGATGATTTTCATTTAAACCTATCAATTATTTCCTTTAACATCTTCAGGACAACCCCTAATATTAGCCTTTCGTTTCCATTGTTTTCTCTTTATGTCCCCTGTATTCTTATTAGTAGTACTACTAACAGTTAAAGAGTTTTGTTTTGAATTATTGATTAGTTGAGAATTATTCACTATATGAAGTTGTAACTTAGGAGAGCTTAATAAAAGGCCGGGACATACCTTGTCTATGTTATCTTGCAATTCCTTCATTTTTTGATTGCCAGCATCCAGCATTTGTGAGGCAACTTGCAATAAGTTTTGTTGTAGCTCTATTGTGTCATTCAACATATTGTCTGTAAGCACGTGATTTTTGTCCTATGTGAGAATTACTCCAAAAAATTCAAAATAAAATAATTTTTCTTTGTGTGCAATTTTGAGAATTTTCGTGGCATTTTTGATAATTATTTGTATTTGTCCATGCATGTTTATTTGTTAAATTAATAAAAAATACAAAAAATATGTTGCATTTGCATTTAGGATTTAATTCTACAATTAGGAGCAATTAAGTTTGTTTTTACAAGAACAAAAAAAACATAAAAATAATGTACGTTGAATTTTTAGCATTTAATGTCCAAATTGTGTGATTTTATCGTAATTGCTATTTAATTATGTGTTAATTGTTATTAATAATTAATTAACACTTTTATAAATTAATTTAGTTCTATAGGATAATTTAGGATTTTAAGAATTTAGTTTTAGTTAAAGAAAAAATAAAAGAAGAAAAAAGAAGCAATAAATGAAGAAGAAAATTGGATTGGGCCTTTTCTTCAATTTTAAACCACAGGCCCAAACCAAATAACCCCTTATCCAACCCAAACCCCCACCGGGTCAACCCGACCCGGTCCTCCCCATAACCAAACGAGTTACCCCCCTCTTCCCATTTTTCATTCTTCATTTTCCCCAAACCCTAAAAACATCCGCCCCCCTCTTCTCTCCATCTTCTCCAAACGACCCCAAGCTCCAGCTCCCATAGCTGCCCTTCCATGGCTGACCCCAAGCTCCAGCTCCCACAACCACCATCTTCTTCATCGCACACACAACTCACGTCCTCATAACCACCCCTGCTGCGTCGTCATCTTCTCCAAACGACCCCTCCAGCTCCTTCGTCGTCCATGGCTGTTCTTCCTCGTCTTCTTCGAACCAACAACCCAACCTCCATAACCACCAACGACGTAGCCAACCAGACAACGCCATGGCTACTGCTTCTTCTTCTTCTTCATCTTCGGTCTGCTCAACGCGCACACATACAGTCCGTCGTGACCACCCTCCAGTCGCGAGCACCACCCAAACCCGCCATTGCTTTTGTTACATCCACCAGACGGCCACCTCCCTCCCGTCGACCAAACAGTCCCACGACCACTATCGTCGCTCTATGTCCAGCAGCCATTGCTGCTGCTTCATCTCCTCATCCCAAGCAACCACTAGTCGTCAACCAACTGCTCGTCGACCAGTAGCGTCGCCCCTCCACCAGTCCTCTTCTCCACCAGTTCGTCACCTCAAGCAGCCCCACGACCTGAAACAATCGTCTCCCAGGCCGTCTCCAAACACCAGCCATCCGAGGTCATGCTCAGTCATACATCGAGGCAGTGTGTCGAGGTTCCGTCGAGGTTGTTGGCAATCTTGGTTCGAGTTTTCCATTTCCGTTGAGGTCGTCGTTGTTCGTCGAGATCCGGTATGTCGAGGTTGCTGTCCGAGTTTCTGTTCCGTTGCGGTCATTTCCGGTTAGTTGGTTTAAGTTTCATTTTTGTCCGTATTTTGTTTGATATTCTCGGATCTGAAATCAGTATATGTTTGATTCTTTTCTTGTTCGTTGTTTATCATTTCTTGATTATTTCTTCAGTTTGTTTTTATTCATTTGTTCTTGTTTAGTTTTAATATAGAAGTGTGTTAGTTTAATCACTTGAATCCTTTATCTTGGTTGTAATGTTGTTAGATTTAATTTGAAGTTCAATTGATTATTGAGTTTAGTGATTTGAATCTACTTGTTTGTTATGTTCAATTTATTACTATTATTGAATCTGAAAGTATGTTTGTTGTTAAAAATGTTGTTCAGTCAAAATGACTTCAGTTGTTTCTTTATTGTTCATCATATGGTTTGGTTCCCTGAATCCTTAGTCTTTGTTTTGATGATATTTGACAAAATCTGAGTTTCTAGTTTAAATTTGTTGATGAAATTTGATTAGGAATTGGTTATAGCTGCTGTATTTTGATTAATTGATTAGGTGAATTGGTTATAGCTGATGGGGGTAGAATGGTAAATTATAGTATTTTCAGGGGTAGAATAGTAATTTCAGTAG